TCTCCTATATTTTTAATATTAATTATTTTTTATTTTTTAAAAAATAAAAATTTATTATATTTATTAAAGCTTTATATAAAAGTAAATAACTTAAGAAAGATTTAAGATTTACCTTAATTATTTAAATTATTTAAATTTTTTAAGGGCATAATTTTCGTTTTACGTCTAATCACTATCAAGTTAAAGAGCTTTATAAAAGGTCCGGGGTTCAATTCCTCCTGTGTCCACGAGTTTCGCACAAAGCACTCCTAAGGAGTGTGGTATTTTTTGCTACCTTGGTAGCGTGTGGTTTGGCTATTTTTTGCTCATTTTTGCTGCGCAAAGAAGTTTGGGTTGCGATGCTTTTTGGCGTTTTTTTCTTTGATCCTCCACTCGTGAGAACTTTGACAGACTTCCACCATCACCTTCATAGACATTCTGCGCACCTGCATATAACAAAAATACGGCATGTACTGCAGCAAATTGAACGAATCCATACACAATTCTACAGATCAAAGCGAATTACGCTTCTTGCACAACGCTTGGGTCCTACTTCCGCTCATGAGTTCGCAAACCGAGGTTCAGGGTAGCTCTCTCTTACCAGCTTGTCGGCAGGCAGATCCCCCACTGCTGAGACTAGCGCCCTGCAAGTTCACTGACAACGTCACACAGATGCAAAACCTCACAACCGACAAACACAAACCCCCCATGGCACAACCCCAATGCGCGCATCCAAAGCTCATAAACACCCGTCTCTGAGTGTCCGAGAACCCCAAGGAGCCCCTATACCCCAGCGATGCCGTCGCCCACGGACGATGAGACGCCGTTCCCTGCTCTAAGCCACGCCGCGACCTTCAGCGTCTTTGGACGCTCGCATCTCTCCCCGCAAGACGCACACCTCTCGCCGCCGCGACGGGCACGCGGTTTCGATGGCGACGGCACCTCTGAGATGAGGCGGCTGGGCGGCTACACCGAGAGGAGCCGCAGTCGTCGACGGAAGCGCGCTTGGAAGAAGCTCATGTGGGTGAAGCAATCCTGTACGTTGAGCATCACATACGATACCTCATGTTCTACTCTTCTACTTTCCTGCCCAAGAAGCGCGAAGGAAAGGGCAAAAAAAAAAAAGAAAAAGAAACACTAACACAGGAGCAGTCCCAGACAACTACACCGACCAAGCAACGTTTCTTGAAAACCTCCAACGCAACCCCCGCCTCAAACCGTACGACTTTTGGCCGCTCGTCGCCGATTCCACCGTCATCCTCCAACACGTCTGCTCCGTAACCATCTTCATCGTCTGCTTCGTGGGCATATACCACGAGCGCGTGTCGCCCGTGTCGGTCGTCAGCTGGAGCAGCTTCGCCACCTTTGTCGGCTGGATCCTCTGGGAGCGCTGGGTGTCCGAGGAGGAGGACAAGGAGGACGAGGCCAACGCGGCGGCAGCAGCGTCCGCCGCCGCCGAGGGGAACGCGGCCCCGGCGCCCGTCGTGCGAGCGGGCAGCGTGCGGCGGAGGAACCGCGCAGGCAGCGTCCGCAGGCCGCCGCACCCGCTG